TCAATTAAAAGAGAGAGGGCAAGGGTTGATTCATGCAGACTGAGGTAATGGGCAGAACAGCAGTTTCCAGTAATTAGTGAATAGTCTGTGCTGTTCTGGCACAAGCAGCTGTGACATCACTACAGCGACGAGGCACGGGGGAAAGCAAGAGAGAACAGAGTTTGCAGGGAACTTGAGACGCCAACCCGATTATTAAAGGGGCTTGGTTTGGCTATTACAAAACAATGCCCAGGCTGGAAATATGTAAACTCCCACCTCTGAGATTGTCCCTGGCGTTTATTTTCTGGGCCTGGTGGTGTTCGTGCGTTGCTTGGCCCTGCTACACAAAATATATGTAAAACTCAAGAGACGCTGTAAAAAACCAGTGTGAGTTTGGCCACTGGAATGCTACATAAATAAATCCATGGCCCCAAGATTTTGGCTGGACTCGGTAGGTTTTTGTTGTTCAGTCGCACAGTCGAGTCCAACTCTTCATGACCCCATGGACCAGATCACGCCAGGCCAACCGGTCTTCCGCCATCCTCTGAAGTTGGCTCAACTTCATGTTCGTTGCATCGATGACACTGTCTAACCATCTCATCCTTTGCCATCCCCGTCTTCTTTGACCTTCAATCTTTCCCAGCATCAGGGTCTTCTCCAGTGAGTGCCCCCTTCTCATTGGGTGGCCAAAGTATTTGAGCTTCAGTTTCATTATCTGGCCTTACAGGGAACAGTCAGGGTTGATTTCTTTTAGGATTGCCTGATTTGATCTCCTTGCAGTCCAGGGGACTCTCAAGAGTCTTCTCCAGCACCATAATTCAAAAGAATCTATTCTTTGGCACTCGGCCTTCCTTATAGTCCAACTCTCGCAGCCATACAATGCTACTGGGAATACCATTGCTTTGACCATATGGACTTTTGTTGGCAGGGTGATGTAGGTACCCCCACAAAAATGGTGTCTCCACGATGGGATCGTGCAGAACTTTAGTAAAGGCTTGTTGCTTCTCAGTGCTTCTAAATGGATGAGCCATCTCCCTGACTCCCTGTTTTTCCTGAGGATGGGGGTTCATCCTGAGCTTTGTCCTGAGCATTGGAGCACTCAGAACACAACAAGACTTTTCAGTGCTCTCTAAACCTAGCATGAGGTCACAGAGGCATCTCGGTCCAGCTCTCACAGGGTAAAACGTGCATGCACACAAAAGCTTCTACCCAGAAGTAAACTTTGTTGGTCTTAAAGATGCCACTGGATTCAAACTTCGTTCTATTGCTTCAGAACAGCACAGCTACCCACCTGAATCTAACTCACAGGTGATTGTGATGATAAAATGGAGATAGGAATGTTGTAAGCTACCTCAGAGAGAGGATATGAATTCAGAATGCCCTATGCCAGCTGAGATTTTTAAATGTATGAATGCATGTCCATCTAACTCATGGGTGGTCAAACGTGCTTAATGTACGAGTCACATAGAATAAACGTCAGGTGTTTGAGAGCTGCAAGACATGAACAAATATTAGACACAGGTTTTTATTGAAAAATATGCAAATTTGCTTTTTATTAAGATTAAATGAGACTGCCAAAAATAAAAACAATAGGGGTAAAACCAGATATTGATAATGATATTTATTTGTCCAATGATATTTATTTGTTTGCTAATAATATTTATTTGTCTGAGAGAGAGAGAGAGAGAGAGAGAGAGAGAGAGAGAGAGAGAGAGGTGGAAAGAAAGCGAGAAAGAGAGAGAGAAACAAAGAAAGCAAAGATGGGTGAGGGAGGGGAAAGGAAGGAAGGAAGAGAGAGAGAAAGGGAGAAAGGGGAAAAGAGAGAAAAAGAGAAAGAAAGCAAAAAGATGGGGAGGGAGGATAGAAAGAAGGAAGAGAGAGAGAAGGGTGGAAAGAAAGGGAGAGATAGAGAGAAATAAACAAAGCAAATAAATGAAGGAGGGGAGGAAGGAAGGAAGGAAGGGAGAGAAAGACAGAAAGAAAATAAGGAAGGGAGTATGAGAGAGAGAAAGAAGGGTGAAAAGAAAGAAAGAGGTGGAAAGAAAGCAAAAAGATGGGGGAGGGAGGAAGGAGGGGGAAAAGAAAGAAAGAGTGAGTGAGTGGTGGAAGGAAAACAAATAAATAGGGAGGGAGGGAGGGAGGGAGAGGTGATAAGAAAGTTACCTTAACTTTAAATGTGTTCTCCAACCACCCCCCACATGCCCCCATACCAACTGGTTTGGCTTGGAGAAGGGATTTAAAGAGACAAATGCCTTCTCCAAGCTGGTGGGTAGGGCCGCAGGACGGGGGCTTGGAGAATGCCTTTAACTTTAAATGTGTCCTCCAAGCCCTCTGCCCCCACTGCAGTGCTGGCTTAGCTTTCTAGAAGGGATTCACAGAGACAAATGCCTTCTCCGAGCCAAGCCAGCTGGCTGGTGGGGTAGAGCTTGGAGAACCCATTTAGATGGGGATGGATGGGAGAAAGAGAAATAAAGGTGGAAAAAAAGAAAGTGGAGGGGGAGGGAGGGAGGGAGAGATGGAAAGAAAGCAACTTTAAATGCATCCTCCAAGCCTCCCCTCCACCCCCACGCTGGCTGGCTTGGCTTTGAGACCAGATTTAAAGAGACAAATGCCTTCTCCAAGCTGGCCACTGGGGGGGGGCTTTAAGAATGGATTTAATATTTTAATTTATTTATTTAGGCATTTTTACCGCGCCCTCCCCGCGAGCAGGCTCAGGGCGGCTTACAAAGGGCATATGCCCGTACATAAAACCAGATAAAACAATAAAATCATGAATAATAACAATAACAATAATAAAGTGCAGATGGTCTTTGAGTGGTTTTGATGGCATCACTCATTTCCTTAAATCCTCCCCTTGGGGTGATACTGTCCAGTAGAT